ATTTGACTATAAACATCTTTTTAGGAACAAGACAGAACTGCGAAAAACTTCACTATAATGTATCTGCAACACAATCGACTGGTGCCTCCTCATCATCAAATCAATATGGTTCGAATGCGAATATTGTTTCTTATCTTTCTATGTTATTAAGTATGTTTAGAAACTAGAAAAACACTAAGAGAATCAAACAAACAACAGCAGTCTCAAAACACAGTGACATCAGCATCGGATATCCTAGCTGATGTACAACAAGAATCTGGTAAGGATTAATCAGCAGGAAAATTGTAGAATTCATATGCGAGCAAAATATTGAAGATTAAGTTTTATATGAGCTATAGTTTTTCAATCTAAACTATATTCTTAATATCACCATGTACATTTATCAGTTAAGTTTCACATATCATTGCCAGTAAGAACATTAAATCTATATTATAAACAATTGTAGTTCATAAATATAAGATGATAAGATCATGCAAAATCTTTTTTTATTATATATTGTAATGAATTTCTCTTTGAACTACAATTCTGATGTAATTGTGAATGATACAATTTTGTTTTTAGGAGATGGTAAAACTGATGATAGAGAAGAAAAAGCAATTCGTAATGCTGTATTTACGAAACTCTTACAGTTAGTTATTGAAGGTAATACTTCTACCGATGATAACAATGAGGAATTTCATAAAGTACGCTGTGGAGCATGTGGTTCCCATCCAATTAGAAGTGATCGATATAAATGTTTAAATTGTGAAAAATTAAATTTATGTGCACAATGTTTTGAACGTCGGAAAGAATCTAGAAACCATAAGAGCGGACATACATTTATTCATTTTAAATCACCTAACGAATTATTTGGTCGATCTGTGACAGATGATGATGTAACATTCAATAAACTTCGAGAATTGTATAAAGATGATGTACATGAATCAATCAGTTGTGATGGTTGTCATTCTCCAGCTATCAAAGGCTTACGATTTAAATGTGATACATGTTCAAACTATGATCTATGTGAACAGTGTTTAAAAGCTGGTACTATTACTCAAACACATGAGTCTACTCATCCACTTATTGTTATATCGCGTCGAGCGATTCATCAAATTCCAGCAGATGATATTGAACTTGGTGATGAATTAGGAAGAGGCGCATTTGGTATATATATATATATTTTTTATAGGAAATTCTATATAAAAATAAATAAAATTTCTATGATTTAGGTTCAGTACATAAAGCGAAATGGTTATCAAAAAAACGTGTTGTTGCATGCAAAGTGATTCTCGTACCTAGAACAAGTAATGCTGAAATACTTCAAAAAAGTTTTTTAAAAGAAATAGCTGCTTATGCTGAACTATCTGGGGCTTATATTCTTAAAACTTATGGTTTTGCAGTAGCTAGGAATGAAAAAGGCAAAATATTTATGCTTATTATGGAATTTATGTCTCGTGGAAGTCTTAAAAATCTTATTCAAGAGAAAGGAAATAAAATATCTTTACGACGAAAACTTGATATGGCAATAAATATTGCTAGTGGAATGCGAAAAATTCATGAACATAAAATGATTCATAGAGATATTCGACCAGATAATATTCTTATTAATGAATATTATGTTGCTAAAATTGGGGATATGGGGATTGCTCGAACTATTGATCCTTTAAATCAACATACACAAATTGGATGTCAACCGTATATGCCCCCTGAGTTTTACAGTGGTACCTACGATCAAAAACTTGATATTTTTACATTTGGATTAACATTGAACGAGCTTTTTACTTCAACAAGACATATGTTTCATCAATTTGCTAATACAAAAATAGCTTTTCAAGAACAAAGTCCTATCTTTGCTGATTTAATCGCTCGATGTACAACTGATGACCCAAAAAGACGTCCAACAGCTATTGAAATTGAAAAAACTCTTGATCTATATATTACTGGTTTCAACGAAATTATTCTTAAGAAACATCCCAGTTATATAAATTTATCTACTGAAGATAAAGACGAAATCTTTGTTGCTTTCCATGAAAAATTTCATCCACCAGCAACAGAATTTATTCGAAAAAAATTTCCATCGGAATTTCTTGAACATTTAACAGATGTACCCGGTGTCAAAGTGGATAAGAATGTCAATAACGAAATACGTATAGAATGTCCTGTTCAGTAAATCTTCAAATAATATAAATTATTAATCAGAAATATCCTCTAACAAATATTTATTTTCTTTGTCAATTTTCAATTAAATGTTTTATCTTTAATCAAGACAAAAAAATTGAAAAAATATCTTTTTTTTCTTCTTATAATAGCCTATGGGTGAGAGTGAGTAGAAAACTCATACCTTCATCATCAGACTCTCAAATTATACACAGTTAATAATCGTAAACAGTATATTATTGAAGCGTTTATTTAAAAGACATTGAAAAGCTACAAAAAGCAATTATGTAATATAATTATATAAATATAATACAAAAAAGAAAATTTAGTCGTCAAGTTTTCTGCCATTTTATAAGTGATTGTGATGAATAATTTCGATGCTTGTGGTAACGACTAATTGACATAGATAAAGCGAATAACAATAGGAGTTTTGTGTTTTCTCACTTTTTTACGTTGTCTTATTCGTTTTAAATCTTTATTTATCGCATCAATACCAAAACAATATTTCATTATATCCATTACGATAACAATCATCATAACACTTGCCATAGCAATAATAGCAATAAATGCAAATGATTTCGAAACTATTTGATGTAAAACAAGTGTATTCGATTCTATTTGACAATATCTACCGGAGTAACTATCACTAAGACATTCGCATGTGTAATTCTTAGTTAATGAACGGCAAACACCATTATTTTGACATGTTACATTCTGACAATAATTCATATGTATTTCACAATTACTGCCTTGCCAATCTGACGAACATATACATATAAATTCTGTCTTCGATGTTTCATTGCAAATACCTACAATAAATAATAGCATAGATATTATTATCTTGTACTAGAAAGATCAGAAAATAAATATATATATGTACCATTATTCCAACAAGTATATGATTTACATGGTCGATTATCGATTTGACATTGTAGACCATAAAATCCAGATAGACATGAACAATTATAACCATTAGAAGTTGTATTTGTATCTATACAGCTAGCATTATTTTGACATGGCTGTAATATATCACATGAAGTGCTTGTAACATTGCAATAAGAACCAATAGTTATTGAATTTGAGCATGTAGGTGCCAGAAACGAAGATGATGTTTGTTGAACTATATTGCAAAAAGAAGAAAACTTTATTAACGAAATTGATATTCAGATGAAATTCATTTATTCGTCAAATAATTAGAGTTAATAAAACTATTATTATCTTTCCTATACATTGAAAGATACGTAAATTTTTCATAGTCTGAAGAAATAATTATTGAGAATATATTGTATTTAATTTGCTCACTTTATAAACTTTTAGTAAAACAATTATTATTACCGTAAGTATTCGTGAACGATGTTGTGTCATTATTTGTGATAGTAGTTGTCTTACCTTAAAGAGAAAGTTTTATCACATATTGTAAAATCAGAAATAGTAGAGAGTATGACAATTTTAAGAAGTAGAAGAATTGATAGCACTTTGTCATCCCTTTTCTGAAGAATACCATAAAATACACATACAAACCTGTTTCATAGTAATGATTATCAAAAGTAGATGCCATACTAGACATGATTGAAGTCATCGTCGTACTAGACAAGACTGTAGTGGTCGTCGTAGTAGAAGTGACTGCATTTGTTGTCGCACTAGACATGACTGAAGTCGTCGTCGTACTAGACATGGTTGTATTGGTCGTCGTACTAGACATGACTGCAGTAGTTGATTCAATATCTTCTGATAAAATCGTATCTAAAAATACAAGAATGCTATAAAATATGAGTTATTAATATATTATTAGTGGTCATTAACGATGTCGATATCTGTACTGTTGCTGTATAATTATGTAAATTAAAGACTACTGTCTAGTTATCAGTTTGGAAATGTCCTTTACATTAATGTATATTCGCAGATCAAATTGTAACATAAAAATTGATATCAAGATGATTGTGATATATACAAACAATAATTCTGACATCGAAAAATTTTATATATGAAATAAACTAAATATTTATTGGATACTAATATAGTCTAATAGAGTTGAACATTCAGTTATATTGCAATCTCCTTCATATAAATGTAAACTCTAACTCCTTAATATAAAAAAAGGCTGTTGAAAGATTCTATATATATTAAATCGTAGAAATTTTTAGGATTAGCAGTTACTCTGGAATATAACTCTTTATTGTTATTTTCTACATATCTACATCTCAAATAATGCGAATGGCCAAATGTTTCAATTACAATTTAATATTATTAAAATGAAGCTGGAAAAATTTAGTGTTAATCATAATATCAACTCTGAAATAGTATATACTTATACTTGCCCGAAAGATTCGTTGTCAATAGAAATTTCTGAATGCGTTCATTGTTAGTATCGACAACAAATAAATTGCCGTAACTATCAAAACTTAAAGTCGATGGTTGGTTTAATTGATAGGATGTAGAACCAGATCCACTGCACCCAACAACACAGTAAAAACCATTAGGCCCTGAGGCAACAATTCGATGATTATTACAATCAGTTATATATAGATATCCATCGGCATCAAGCGTAATTCCACTGGGATAATTAAGTGAGGTTGTTCCTATTACTTCTGTACTGTTTACTATAGTTACGCCACTTGATTGATCAAAATAGAAAAATTGAATTCTATTGTTGTTACAATCTGCCACATATAAAGAGAGATTACGATCAACAAAGATTCCTCGAGGTCCATATAGCATATTTGAACTTAATCCAGCGTTACCTGTACCAGCAATAGTTGTCGCCGGATTTGCACTACCATTAACTGAATATTTGATAACTTTATGAAGATTATAAAGCGAGCAATAAAGATTATCTTCGACATCGACAAATAAACTGAAACAAGCATCATCCACAAACATGCTAGAGATACTGTTTGTCGCGTTCAATGTCCATTTATCTACTGAACAAGGAGAGTTACCAGTGTTAACATAAATATCGTTGTTACTTGTGACAAATACAGAATATGGATAACGTGGACTAGTAGAAATATCTCTAAATGGAACTATGCTCCCTTCAAGCCAAATTCTAACGCACCAAAAGCCAAGTAAAGGTACATAAACGGTATTGTTAGTACTTATAAATATGCTGTATATTAAGTTTCCGGTTGTATAACCACTTGCAAATGTTGTAGCATTAGGATTCCATGTCGGCAGTGAACTAAATTTAGGTTGATTGAATGATTCACCTATAAAACAAAATTAATCGTATGTGTTCAAGAATTTTATTTTCGAGCAATACACAAATATTGAACTTAATAAAGATTAATCTGATTATTCGATCATTGTCATACATTTTTATCAAAGCGATAAAATATAATTAAGTATTTACCTGCCATTTTACTGATCATCAGTTGTATAATTATCCAAATACCAATAGTAGGCATTATATTTCTACGTCTATTATCTACTGTGTTAGTAACTTTCTACTCTCTTGAGGAAACAACCCAGTTCTTGCAAATAAATCGATTTGCTTTTTTTTCTTTCAAAAAAAAGTAGCTTATATAATAAAAAAATTTAAAGCCACTATGACGTCAATGCTGATCATATGAACACAACTATTCCCGTTGAAGAGTAAATACTATGTCAAATCAAGTAAAACATTTGTATTAATTGTTTCTTCGGAAAAAAACATGTTAAAAAATAATAACGATCGATCGTATACAGAAAAATATCTATTTCACTTATTTATTCAATTATTATGGAAAATTATTTCAAAAAATATATATTATCTATATTTACTTGTAATACTAACAGAATTTATAGTAATATTTTCATTAGATGTTCTCGTTCTGCATAATTAGGATGTAATATAAATTAATTATTTAGATGAACAGAATTTCAAATCGATATATAGAATATTAAAACATATTTCAAGTTTCAAATGAAGTTGTTGATTTTTTAGAAGAAGATAAAAGTACTTGGTTGTTCTTTGAACTATCATTAATAGTTAAAGAACAATTCTTATCGTTTATTTTTTCTTATATTTTAATACCAAGATGTTGCATAGATATGATTAATACTAATGTATTATAGTGAATATCTATAACTTTATCTCAACAGTTTTAATAGAATACAATTGATAAAATCAATTAGGTCCAACAAATGTTCTTTTAGTCGTCTTGATTTTTTTCCAGGGAAAAAAACAAGTATAAAATTCCAAGTAAACAGTCTAATAATAACAGAATTATTTCATTATGAAGAATGACGGTTGTTTGCGATTCTATGCTATATGTGTCAATATATCGGTAATAGTAAAATATCTTAGATACATTTTTAATTTAAAAAAAAACTTATTTGCTCACTTGTCTCGTTATTCATTTACAATTGTTCTTATCAGACGGAAAGAATAGATTTTTTTATATAAGTATCATAAAATTCATTCAAAGAGAAAATGAAATATTTTGTGTAATAAACTATTAAAAATTAATTATCAATAACGTGTTTTATTTTCTAATAAGAAGTTTCTTGATATTCTAGCATTATTTTTATATGTATTAGATGGAGTTCATGATGACAGCAATTTTTTCTAAATTTAATTCAGTTTAATTTTCTCACAGAAAACCATTAGCAATTGAATTATTCACTATCCGTTACAGTAGAAAATACTCGTATTTTTACGAAATATTTCATTTAATCTACATGTAAAATGTTTTTATTATGTTGTTTTAACAAAACAAACATGACACAAACAAGTTAAATGAAAAAAAGCGAAAGATCGCTTTTCTGTGTTTTAATAAAGAAACAATGAATTCAAATGATATAAACAAAAGTTATTTTAGTTGTAAAGACAATAAAAGTGGCTAGTTCAAAAGACTTTGTCTCCTTCATCAGTTTATTATTAATTTGCACCAATGTACCTGAAGTAAAGTTCAATAATCATCTACACAAATTATTTTTTTCTGTATTTTCTTGCACATAAGGAGGATCTCGAATTTTAGTAAACAAAAAGTCCACGTATAAGATAACGTGTCCCTCTCAAACAAGATTACAATTTTCATTCAGTTAATTGTTTTTATTTTATTAATTAAAAATTAATCAATCTACATTCTGTGCGTTTCCTCTCAGCACAAAAGACGAAGTAGTAAAGAGCACTACATAACAAACGTCAAAATACTCTTTTTCTTTGTTATAAATCAAAGCTAAAATTATGAGTACAATATTATATTAGAATATATTCTCATTTATACACTTAACATTTTTTCTTTTGTATAATTCTAACAGATTTCTGAAAAAATACTTCTTTGTAACACAATAAAAACAAAGAACCGTGTGCATGATGGTTTCATATGTATATGCAACTAAAGTATTTGCTCAATATGCAGGCACCTTCTTATTCTTTTTTAACTTTTGTGGTGGTATCATGACAATAATTGTATTCTCAACAGATTCGACATATCGTAGAAAACCATGCACATTCTTTATGTTAATATCAGCCATTGGAGATTGTGTTCAGCTACTTAATGCAACACTTGCACGTGTTCTTGCAGCGGGTTTCGACATTGATCTTACACGTACATCATCTGTATTATGTAAACTACGACAATATTCTTATGGAGGAACTGTTGGAGTTGTATTAACATGTGATTGGTTATCGGTTATTGATCAATATCTAGTTACATCACGTAGTGCCCGTTTACGACAACTGAGTACTATGAAGTTAGCTTATCGTGTTAGTTTTGGTGTTATTGTTTTTTGGGCTCTTCACAGTATACCGTTCCTCATCTTCACAAGTATACGGTAAGTTAAAATGCTTTTCTCTCTATTTAATTATTGAAAACAATTTCAATGAATATTAAAATAATCTATCTAATAAGAGGAAGTATCCGAGGTAATATCTCTCGTCTGAATTTATATTTTGCTTATAGATATTGCTCATAGTGTAGATAAAAACCCTAAAACGATTTGTCCCAAGCTCTGTTATTGTTGAGATATCGTACTTTTAAGATATAAAGAAATCTCGTTGTCTTGATCTCCCTCAGCAATATTGAAAAAGCTCATTTTTAAATTTTGATTTAAACTTTATACAAATGAAGGTATCAATGAGGGTAGTTTATTCTGAAAATTCCATCGTTTTTGAATGCTCCTAACTGTAATTAGTAATGGCACTGCTATTCTCTGTAAGTGACATTGTATAATGCGTAGCCATATCTCCCGATAGAAACAAACAATAGGTCTAAAATTTTCACAACAAACTACTCTCGTTGATACCTTCATTTGTATAAAGTTTCAAGTCAAAATTCAAAAATGAGTTTTTTCGATATCTCTGTGGGAGGCCACGGCAGTGAGATTTCTTCATATCTCAAAAGTACGATATCTCAACAATAAGAGAGTTTGAGAAAAATCTTTTTCGGGTTCTTATCTACACTATGCACCATATCTATAAGTAAAATATGAGTTCAAATGGGAGGTATCTCCCTTAGATGCTTCTCTCGTTAGTTTATTGTTGTTTGTACTTATAGATCGGGAACATGTACGATTACTAATTCAATTTTTCAAAGTTATTACACGTACGTTAACTTCTGGTCCTTTTATACAACAATTCCAATCATTATGCAGATTACTTTTGGTACTCTTGCATATAGAAATATGCGTATGTTACAGAATAATCGTCAGTTGCAAGGTGCTGATCGACAACTGACTTTAATGGTTTGTGCACAAGTGGGACTGATTCTTATTAGTACAGTACCATATGCAATCTATTATGCATATTCATTAAACACAGCTTATCAGAACAAAACTAGTGAACAAAAAGATAAAGAAAATTTTATTGCAAACGTTATAGGTATGACCGCTAGTTTTGAGTTTGGAGTAAGTAACATATGACTATTTCATTCTTTTTCATCGATTCTTCTCATTTGATTGTTTCTATTTTAGGGTAGCTTCTATTTATTTCTTGCTGTTTCAAAACGCTTTCGTCAACAAGTAAAACGATGTATTTGTTGGTTTAGGAAACGAAGAAATATCGTAGTACCCAGAACAGAAGCAATTCAGACAATAAGTGCCAATCCAGCAACAAAACAATAATCTCATACTATTACTGTCAATCAGAACGAATGCAGATATGAAAAATGAATAGATATCTTTGCATCTACAATATGTACAACTATACTATCTAGTTTTTTTTGTAATTCATATGAAAAATAGCTATTCATTCGAATAGTCGAAAATATTTAAACATTGTAATAAAACTCAAATGAAATAATGACAAGAAGATGTGTGAATGACAATGATACAAATATTATCATTTCAATGTTTTATTTTTCTACTACAATTTTACAAGAGTTTTTGTATTTCAAAAATCAATCCTCAAATATATTTATATATATACAGTACACACATCAGACATGAGAAAATAACAATCTATTATCAAGAATGCTGTTCATCAAATTACAAATAACTAAAGATCCACATATCCTTTCTCGTATCTCAAAAATTTTACACTTATATTCTTAAATATTGCAAAAAACTCATCATGGTGAAGCTAATATATACAGTTGAATTTAAGTCTAAGGCTAAAATAAATATCTGAAGCGTTAATTCTATATTTTTAGTAGAGAATGTAGATATGTTAAAAGTATAGTGTAGAAAATTGTATTTATAACAGTTCGACTGAAAAGTGATAACCAGTAAGTCGTAAAAGATATAATTTTGACAGAAACGTTGAATAACTTCTATCGATGAAAAAGAAAAATGCGGTATATATTCATGTAACCAAGACATGATACTTTCATTTTTTTTCTTTCCATAGTCATAATAAATAGTATGAGATTTAATATTTCATTTGCTTGAATTTGTAATATTTATTTTTTACACTTGAATATGTGGAAATCGATTTGAAAACAAATATATATATATAAGATATGTAGTTTGAATGTATCACAGGCTGTACCTTCACATCATCATCTTTTCTTTTATATTCATCTTTAGTTCAAAGTCTCGATGTGTGTTAATATATATATATAGGATGTGGGTATGATAGATCTGAGATACCCACATTGACCCACACCCACACTCTCTGCAATTAAGAACTAATATAAATGATCCCTTAATAAAATCGCACTATGACTCACTAGATATGAAAACCACTGGAAAGTATAGTAATCTTATAAGAAAAATACTCTCTTGTTGAAATAAAAATTGAGATATTTTTTTTTCGGAGTACATTCACAACATTCCTAACAATAAGCATTTGTATTTCCAACACAATCAATATATTTGCTGTATTCTTCTACTTATAAAACAGTTAACACAATATATAAAACTGTTTTGCATAATGCAGTAAAAAACGTTTAAGACTATTCACATATTTATTTATTTTCTCTGTAACTATGACCCAAATATCTTTATAGTAAAAACTTATAATAAATAAAGGAATTTTATAGAAAAATAATTAGAGCATAAAAAGAAGAGAAAAATACCAATTAAGACATATATTTATTATGACAGAAGGCAAAGCAGCGATAATAGAATAATGAAAAAGCATCACAGCAAACAACAGTAAAATTAACATATAGAAGAACACTTTTATTATAATAACAAGATCTTACTATAATAAGAAAACGTTTTTGGAAAGTTTTGTAGAAATTAAACTTCATTCATATCATATTATAGGACACCGATAAGTCAACCAATAAGCTTTTCGAACATCGAATGAATATTAACAAATCTTTGATCTTTTATATATATATATTAGATGGAGTTCATGATGACAGCAATTTTTTCTAAATTTAATTCAGTTTAATTTTCTCACAGAAAATAATTAACAATCGAATTATATCCACTATTTGTTACAATAGAAAATACTCGTATTTTTACGAAATATTTCATTTAATGCACGTGTAAATATTTTAATCATGTTGTTAACAAAACAAACATGACATAAACAAGATAAATAAAAAAAAGCGAAAGATCTCTTCTCTATGTTTTAAAGAAAAAACAATAAATTCAAATGATATAAACAATATTCATTTTAGTTGTAAAAACAAATAAAAATGGCTAGTTCAAAAGACTTTATTTTCTTCATCAGTTTTTTATTATCTTACACCAATGTACCTGAAGTAAAGTTCAACAATCATCTACACAAATTATTTTTTTCTATATTTTCTCGTACTTGTGGAAGATCTCAAATTTTTGTCAACAAAAAGTTCAAGTATAAGACAACGTTTCCCTCTCAAACGAGATTACTATTTTCATTCAGTTAATTGTTTTTATTTTTATAATTAAAAATTAATTAATATACATTCTGTGTGTTTCCTTTTAACACAAAAAGTGAAGTAGTGAAGAACAGTACACAACAAACTTAAAAAATATTCTTTCTCTTTGTTATCAATTCCTTTTATATTAGCTGAATGTTTGAAACAATTACTTTCTCTTAGACGTTACGCTAAAATTCACATTTTTGTTTCATAGATGGATAGTTCCGAGCCTAGAAATTATCTTTTTCTATGAACTGCTGAACTCTTAATATATTAAAATATTACTTTTTCCATTTTCCTACATCACTCTAGCATCTTTTTCATTTCAAATCGTATATTTCTTGATTTTATCTAGTTAGTGAGAATGACACTTAATTGTTAAACAAACAATCATATGTCTACTATAATCATATAAGAATTCAGAATGATTAAAAAGATTCTTCATTCATCTAGAAGTAAAAGCATATAAATCGGTATCGAAATATTTTCAGAATTATTGCGTCTTACTTTGACATTTATTGACATATTAATCTTCAAAAGCTATACTTGAAAAATATTTCGAAAGAATTCCAACGAATAGTCTATCTTTTAAGTTAAATGGAATGAAATATGATCAATATCCATTTCGTATTTATACATAGAATTTTTTTCCGATGTTTTCTTCTTTCAATAAAATTCTTTAATGCTGCCTTTACCTATTCATCTTCTTAAATCTTATATGTGAGTTATATTTTATTTGACTATATGATTAAATTAATTAATAAACATACTCAAAAGAAGAACAATCTGCTGTTTTCCATGCCAACTATATTATTTTTCTCAGTACTTTTTCATTATCTCTAAATATTCTGTTCTCTTTCTTTATAAAGAACGTACTCATAATGTATGAAATATAAGGTTTTTGCATGCTTACATCATAAAATCGAAGTTACTTTTATAAACTTCGATACAATATCTAGGTTTTCATATTATAGAATAAATGAGTACTCACGAAAATGTTAATAGTTTGATTAATTAAGAATCTCCATCGCCAATTATATAAGTCATAAGATAAAAATACACTTCATATTTCATAAATATTATCTTCTCTAGAATAAGTTCCATATTATTTATTAAAATTTAATTATTTAAGTAATCGTACAGTAGAATATATTCATGTTAGTAGATTGTCAGATGTTAATAATAAATTCAGAGAGTGTAGTCATATTCGAAACGATTCTATATTTGACTGTTAGAGAGAGGTTTCGTAGCTCTATATCGTATCGCATCTTCATATCAAAGCTAAAGTTATGATTACAATATTATAGTAGAATGTATTCTCATTTATACACTTAATATTTTTTCTTTTGTATAATTCTAATAGATTTCTGAAAAAATACTTCTTTATAAAACAATAACAACAAAGAACCGTGTGCACGATGGTTTCATGGGTTTATGCAACTAAAATATTTGTTCAATATGCAGGCACCTTCTTATTCTTTTTCAACTTTTGTGGTGGTATTATGACGATAATTGTTTTATCAACAGATTCGACATATCGTAGAAAACCATGTACATACTTTATGTTAATATCAGCCATTGCAGGTTGTATTCAGCTGCTTGATGCTACACTTGCACGTGTTCTTTCAACGGGCTTCAATATTGATCTTACACGTACATCATCTGTATTATGTAAACTACGACAATATTCGTATGGAGGTGCTCCTGGAATTGCAATAACATGTGATTGGTTATCAGTTATTGGTCAATATTTAGTTACATCACGTAGTGCCCGTTTACGACAACTGAGTACTATGAAGTTAGCTTATCATGTTAGTTTTGGTGTTATTGTTTTTTGGGCTCTTCAGAGTATACCGTTCCTCATCTTCACAAGTATACGGTAAGTTAAAATGCTTTTCTCTCTATTTAATTATTGAAAACAATTTCAATGAATATTAAAATAATCTACCTTAGTTTGTTTTTTGTTTGCACTTATAGATCGGGAACATGTATGGTTACTAATTTAACTTTACAAGCTTATTTCACTTACGGTTACTTCTTTACATTTGCTACAACAATTCCAATCATTATGCAGATTACTTTTGGTACACTTACATATCGAAATATGCGTATGTTACAGAATAGTCATCAGTTGCAGGGTGCTGATCGACAACTGACTTTAATGGTTTGTGCACAAATTGGACTGATTCTTACTACGTCAGTGCCATATGCGATCTATTATGCATATTCATTAAACACAGCATATCAGAACAAAACTACTGAACAAAAAGATAAAGAAAATTTTGTTGGAAATGTTCTAGGTTTGACCGCTACTTTTGAGTTTGGAGTAAGTAACATATGACTATTTCATTCTTTTTCATCGATTCTTCTCATTTGATTGTTTCTATTTTAGGGTAGCTTCTATTTGTTTGTTGCTGTTTCAAAACGATTTCGTCAACAAGTAAAACGATGTATTTGTTTGTTTAGGAAACGAAGAAATATCGTAGTACCCAGAACAGAAGCAATTCAAACAATAAGTGCCAATCCAGCAACAAAACAATAAACTCATATTGTTGCTATCAATCAGAACGAGTGCAGATATGAAAAATGAATAGATATCTTTGCATCTACAATATATACAATCATACTATCTAACTTTTTTGAACTCATAATAATAAGTTATATGAAAAATAGCTATTCATTGAAATAGTTTTTAATAAAACTCAAATGAAATAATTACAAGAAAATGTGTGTGAATGACAATGATACAAATATTATCATTTCAAGGTTTTATTTTTCTAATACAATTTTATAAGAGTTTTTGTATTTCAGAAATCAATCCTCAAATATATTTATATATATATATACAGTACACACGT